CCCCCACCCCCACCGGTTTCCCCAGAACAAAAGGAATCCCAAGGGAGCCTCAGGACGCCTGAGATGGATTCAGAATATTTTAATTCTCAAATAGCAACCGTGGCTGATGATGACATTATTAGCCTTACATAGCACAAGTTCTGCTACTGGATTTCAGCCATGATATTATAGTGCTTTTTCACATGAAGAATTCAAAGCCCTCTAGCCTATTATTGTCTGTTCTGACAGGTAACAGCTTTCCAGCGGAAATCTTTCTGATTACTGTTTCTGATCACATGATTCATTTGAACTGTAAATTATAGTGGGGATGGATCTCCCTTTTTTGTTCTATCTAATTAAAGCCCTATCTATCAATGTTTTTCTTCCTTCTGACCAGATAACGGGCATCTTGAACTGGATGGTCCGTGCTTTGGCAGAATTGGATAACAATATTCTGTCTGTAGAGAGAGTGAGAGATTACTCAAGGACACCCAAGGAAGTAAGTGTTGGAAGGAAATACGGGTAAATCTGTCAGTTTTGCTTTTCCCACATTTGAATTCTTGAAATGGCATTTTCTGTGAAGGCATCTGCAGCTTTTGAAAAGTTTCTATCAAACTGAAAACTGTAATGAATTCTTCCTCAAATTCAGCAAGTACTGCTGTTGCCTGCCTAAAGGGGACTCTCTTGTCCCTACCTGTGCTGTAAATGCTAAAGATGAATGCTTATTGGAAAAGATGGGCGGAACTCTAGTTGTTTACCCCCAGATATGTTTGAATTGCAGGAATACAAATCCAGAATTTGAAGATTCAAGAGCTAATTCAAAGCACCCTTCCCTGATGGGCAAATTTACCAGTTTCATTTTCTCTCTTTTTAATTTGTTTAAAATACAATTCAGAAAGATATTTGCAGTTTTCATATGTTCTTGGTTTTAAACAATGAACCAAGTAAATAAACTTTCTTTCTAAGATAGGAGTACTGGAGAGAGGAATTTTCTGTGTGATTCATAGCAAACTGATCTCCTCGACCCCTGCACATAGTAGCCTGTATGTACAGTATGCAGTGCCATCTTCCAAAAACATGTGATATGCCTTAATTTTCACCCCAAAAGCTGCCATGTAAATAAAAGTCTCAGGCCCTCAGAAAATTAACAAACCAACTGCTGTCCTGGCCAGGAGCATTTTTGTGGCAAGTGAAAAGGAAATGAGGGGAAAACAGATGAAAGAAGCATCAAAATAGGAAGTGAAAAAGGCTTGTGTTTGTTTGTTTGTTTGTTTGTTTGTTTGTTTATTATATTTATACCCCGCCTATCTAGTCAAACGACCACTCTAGGGGTATCATGGAGCTTTCAGCTGCTTCGCCCAGAATCACTGGTCACCTCTTCTTCCTGCACTCTCACTGTGCCATAAAACACTTCCAGAAGCCTTCACCACTAGCTGTGCCAGGCAGGATTTCTGGGAGTTGTAGTCCAAGAACACCTGGCGATTACCCAGACCAAACATTTGTTCTTGTAAAGTTACAGAGTTCAGGTATTTTTCTTGCCACCCAGACAACATAAGCCTTGTCTCACTTAGCCATTGCTTTTTTTTTTTTTTTGAATGACTTTCTATGTCTTATTGTTCCTCCTTTCACCATGGCTTATTTTGAGTTTCATTTTGTTCAGGTTTTGTGGAGTTTAGCCTTTTAGTGCTTTCCTAGTTGATTTCATGTCCATAGCCAAGTGCCTGCTAGTTGGAGGTTTTGCGTTATTCAATTAGCACAAATCTAGAAGTGTATATTAACAATGTACAAACAAGGCATATTAACAATAACAACAGCAATCTTAGAATTGGAGAGCTGGAAAGGACTCTATGGATCATCGGGTCCATCCCATGTCTAAGAGACACAATGGGAAATCCAACTCCCAACCTCTGGCTCTGCAGCCAGAGACTTAAACCTATAGAAGTGCTATCCAGCAGTTCTGTTAAATATTGCTTGAAGTTGGGTTTTGAAAAGATTTCCCAAAGGAAAGACATTTTCTTACAGACAACGGAAATTGCTTTTTAAAGGGAAATTTGGATGTGACTCTCTAACAGAGCTTGCTCGGTCATGAAGGAGTGCACTCAAGCAAGAAAAATGAAGAAGGAGAGACTTCTGCTCTGTCTGAAAGAGCGCTATGCTGTTGATTCAAAGAGTCTACTGTAAGTTGTAGAGTTGACTGCACTCTTGCCAATGGCCAGTAGGAGGTAAACAAGAACAGCAACAAGTAAACACCCTCCACTTTTATTTTTTATTAATATAATAAACAAAAAAAGGACAATAACCAAACATAGACTACATTACACTCCCTTAAATTCACTCCCTTGTAGAATATCACTCTATGTATTTTCTCCACCCAGTGCTACCCTCCCATTCTGGACTAGGTTCCAGTGCTTTAACTTTACAGTTTGTTTTATTGTTTAGTTGTTAAGTCGTGTCTGACTCTTCATGACCAGAGCACTCCAGGCCCTCCTGTCTTCCACTGCCTCCCGGAGATGGGTCTAATTCATGTTGGTAGCTTCTATGGCACTGTCCAACCATATCGTCCTCTGTCGTCCCCTTCTCTTCTTGACTTCACAATTTCCCTAAATCAGGGTCTTTTCCAGGAAGTCTTCTCTTCTCATGAGATGGCCAAAGTATTGGATCCTCAGCTTCAG